TGCCTAAAATTCTCGGATTATTAGGCTATTCAGTAAAACAAACCGCTTTTGAAAATATTAAGCCATTCCGGAGATATTTAAATTATAGCCAGAAACAACAATACTGTACGACCTAATATTTATGAATTGTCATGCATAAGGTTGAAATAAAGCGATACTTGTATTAATTTTACTTATAATTATATATTTTCTAGCTTAAACCTATTTATCAACAAAAATAAACAGTAAAATGTTAAAATTAATAGGAAATTTGGTTTAAATTTATTTTTAACGCATTTATAAAACAAAATATTAATAATTTTTAAAATATTAAAAACATATTTTAGACCTCACTTATTACGGCATGCCGGTGGTTGCGCGGGAATACGGTATGTTATTGCATTGTCATACTGTAGTACTGGTCTGTTTAGAAAATAATTTTACATTTTTTTCGTGCAGGTACATTATTATTATGTTTAATATTAATATTAAATGAATTTTTATTATAGCAAATCATATGATGACCTCGCTGAAATTGAAAATAACAATTAAAAATTACCCAATCCTAAGTAGAAATAACTTTGAAAATATTTTTAATATGAAATATAAGCAATTTTTATGAAGCATACTTTTGATTAGTCCTGTGCAGTTAGTCATAGTATATGTTACGCGCTAGAGCTCCACTTTCATATATACAATTCCCTACTCCCAACCCGCAATTTTTATACCTGAATGTTATAATCTGATCAATTAGCATTAGTTCATATCTATAGTTCATATCTAGTTAGTGAACAATATTTTGACTAAAACAGCACTCAATTGAATAGAAAATGAATTAATTTATAACAAACTTAATATCAAATAAATAAATTAAACAAAACTTAATTCACAATCAATTCAAATGACAGCCACAATAGGATTGCTTATATCTATAGTTAGTGAACATATAGTGAGCAAAATTGCATTAAATACACACATTAACTGCATTTAAGGCAAACAAATAACTTTTAATTGAAATATAAATTATCCAATTTGTGTTATAAATCAGACGATTAATAAACAAATGAATGACTATTTTATAGCAATTTATTACTAATATTACCTTGTTTAAAATTATGAACCCCGGTATTATTAAGTCGTGGGTTACGACTTGCAAATATTTTTGACCCAATACTAGCGCGTAACATATTTTATGACTCACTGCACAGAACTACTTTTGATGAATAATTAAAACTAAACAAGTACATATTTTAAATAATTATCATTCACAAAATTAATTGTTTATTAAATTTTGTTTACATTTCTTGGTTATTATCAAACTTCTAACAATTATACGGTAGTTATTAGTCCTATACGAGGGTAGGGGTCATCTGACGAGCGTATATAATCAGGGCGACCACTGGGCCGACAGTAATTGTCTCCCGGAGCTCATTGTTCACAAACTGGCGTACAATCTGTACCTCCTTTTTACCACTTATTGTCTCCACGAGCCGATTGCCGAGCGGCACCACCACTGACTGGGAAGTCATGTTATAAAACAAATAATTTAGGTTACTATTCAAATGCATTTAATTTTGTTCAGGTAACAATTTTACTACCTTGGCAAGGATACCACCAGGGCCAGTGGCGTTGAACACCTTTCCCAACTCAAACTTAGATTCCCAAACTTTGTCGCCTATGAATGTTTTAAATGTATAGACTCCGTCATGTTTCGTGACCTCCAGTTCCCGTATGTGAGCGCCGATATGATTCGCCCTGTCGTGTGACACACCTACGAGTATTGAAGTAATATTATAACAAATATAAACTGTATATACTGTAAAATTGAAATAAATATGTGTTGAGGACAGGCATGTATGGACACTAACCTAACTCTATGAGGAAGGCGGTGATATGCTCAGAGTAAATTTGTGTGTATTTACCCACGAATATAGTCATTGTGTTTTATAAATTGGCTACTTTCTAAGCAATTTAAAGTTTTTGAAGTTTTTTCATTTTATTTGTTTGCAATAAAACTTTATAATTGCTGAATAATGTAGAAACCTGGTTGTGTTTCAAATTATTTATGCAATTCATATATTGATTACGAGTTAATAAAAGATGAATTTTATTTTAAATTTTAAACATTTTAATTCCTAATACCTATTAGTGTAAATTAATTATATCTAAATAAGATAATTAATAACAGTAAAAACATGATGACTAATCTACATTTTAAATAGATAAAATATCTAATAATTACTGTATTACCAAAACGTAATAAACTATTTATTAGATTGGGTTCCCGTAACAATTGAAATAATCTTAAACGCGACAAAACAATTGTATAGATTGTCAATGAGAGTACTGTACTGTAGTCTATTGACGAGCGTATGTGCTGAAGGCAACTACCGGCCCCACAGTATGGGTCACCCGGAGCTCATTGCCCACCATCTCGTATACAGCTCGTGTCCCTTTTTTGTCACCCATTGTCATCACGAGTTTATTGTCGTCCAACACCATCAGTGCCTACGAAGTGATCAAACAAATAATCATATATTGTATTCATATTTAACTATAGCATTGAAGTTGTGCTTGATGATACCTTGGTAGTAGTGCCATCGTAGTGGTTACAGTCGAAATCCTTTCCCAACTGGAACTGATTGACCACAAACACTGTGACCCAGGATTCCTTTAATCGTATAAATAGTGTCCTCTTTGCTGAACTCGAGTGTCCGGGTGAGGGACGCCATACGATGTGCCTCGTCGTCCGACACGCCTTCAAAGTAATCAATATTACAATCAATTGGTTGACAATCGATGCAAATAACAGATTATATGTGTTGTGGACAATACTAACCGTACTCTTTACAAATCGCCACCAAATTGCTGGATGAGATCTGTTTGAATTTACCGATGAACGAGCTCATTTTACCGGTTTTATAAATATTGTATTCAATTTGCCTGTTCAGGTTATTTAAAGTTTTCAATAGCCTCGGTGTTAGTTACTAGCAATTTAACTTTGTAATCGCTGAATAATATTCACCACTTTTATAACTTACAATTAGTTAACAAAATTTTTAATGCAATTCATAGTACTGCTATGATTAGAAAATAATTTTACATTTAGTTTAGCGTACAGGTACAATATTATTAATTTAATTAATATTATTGTTATTTCATAAATCATTAGCTAAAATAATAAAAAATATTTTTATATAGGTACAAATACTTTTCATAACCTCTAGACCAGAATATTCTGTTTAGTTAACACTATACAGTGTATAGTATAGACACTTAAAATTCTAATTGCATTTCTAGATTCACTAAAATAATACACAACACAATCTCCTTATTAGGTAATTACTAATTAGAAACTTGATTAGAAATTAGTTAACATTACGACAAAATGCTTTAAAAATGCTTTAAAACTTGATATAAAAAACTCAATTTAAATGATTTAGTTCTTCTTTTTGGCTTTGAATACCAGTCCCACGTATGCCAGGAATAGGAAGAGCCCAGTCATGGCTAACATAATGATGGGATCCCAGAACAGGTTGTCTTCGTGGAAGCCCTCCTCGGCTATAACGGCCGCACCGGTAGGATAGCACTGGCCGAGGGACGCCGCCGATATATTCGCATTGATACACGGGATGTAATCGATGTCTTTCCACTGGTTCACGACCATCGACTCAAACCCGTAGTGTATGAACGACAGGTATTTAGCCCACTCGAGCCAAAAGGGTATTGAGCTACACGTGCAAGAGTGCACCGTTAGTTTGTTTAATTGATAGGTGTGTTCTGTAAAGTAAGTGTCAATTACTTGGTATTGAGAAACAGTCCGCCCAACAGAATCATTGGCATAACCATAGGCGTGAGTAAAGCCATGGCGGTGGCGATGTCCCGGCTTATCGCCGATATGAAGTAGCCTGTCGTTCAAGGTATTTGTCAATAATAATTTCATATCATTTAATAAAATAAAAATATTTAATATTATTATAATATACTGTTACGTAAAATATAATGTTTGTTTGGAAGTCATATTCCGTGAATACATACCGAAGCTGGAGGAGACCAGAGTTAGCACTATATTGATGGCAATACACGTGAAGAATACCGCCGGCATCGCATTGAATCCAATCATATAATAGATGACAGCAATGAATATGATGCCAGACGTGCACAGAATCGGTAACTGTTTAGTGGCGTGTCGTTTGCAAGGATTAGTATTTATGCTCATGTTATGCATACCTTATTAAATTGTTATATATTGTCTTGATACAATACCTGGATAAAACTGGTGGCGACAAAATAAGGCAACACTCCGTACATACGGTTGTGGTGTTCGCGCAAGAATATCGGCGTTTCCATACAGAATATCTGAGACACAGTTGTGTCGATTATTTAGGGTATACATTATAATTACAGAATATTCTCGTATTACTTGCACACAAAACAAGGTATTCAGGAAAGTGTTGTTTTGGACCAACAGAAAGAGTGCGGCGTTTATGTTGGATATATAGGGGGACTCAGCGTATTGTTTGTGGTATATGGTGCCCAGGAATAGGGCTAATATCTACCCGGGTGAATACGTGATTAAAATAATTAGCTGGGAATTAGTTTTATAATAGCAGTTATGACTGACCAGAGTCCTCATGATTCGCACTTTCAAGAGCTGCGGACTCCGGATGACCAATAGATACGAGCGCCAGAATAGGGCCACCAATTGGCTCCAGTAGCCCACCCTATAGCCCGACTCAATCTCGCTCTCGTCATCCCGTTCTTCAAACGTGTTCACCAATTGGTTGTTATCAATCTCGATGGCCAATTGGGGCGCGTAATCAGATTTGAGATATTTGTCGCAAATCTCCTGTAAAATCACATAAATTTATTAATTTGTTTGAATAGTTTTGCGACATTTGTATCAATACAGTGACTCTGATCTTATCCTCCTTAATGTTATCCGATGTAATGGCTGTTTATGATTGAGAAAGGTCATAAATTAGTAGGATATAGAATTGTTTCGAATTCTAACCCAGCTCATTGATGTAGAAATCGGCGGGATTGTAGTTATCGGGACACACCTAATGAGATAATTAATAAGTTTTTACTTTTAAGACTCGTTTAACAGAACTTACGAATCCTATCGACGAGAAGAAGTCCCGGGTTTCGGCTAAAGGTATGAGAATTGGTTATAGTTTTGTACAGAATATTCTTATATTATTATTATGATATACATATTGTTCCCATAAAAGCTGCCCTTCCGTCAGCCATAAGTAATAAGTGCTCAAAAAGTTCAAACACTTGAGACGAGGGCTGATGTATAGTACAGATGATGGTCCGACCCTCAGCTGCCATATCCTTCAGCACTTGTACGATGTTTTCGGCCATAAATGAGTCCAAACCACTGGTCGGCTCATCACTAATACATTCGTTTGATTAGTATTTGAGAGAAAATTGTATCGAAAGAGATGTCTATTTCTCACCAAAACATAACCGAAGGATTGGTCAACACCTCGGAAGCAAAGGACAGTCTTTTCATTTCTCCACCGGATATGCCTTTGAAGGCATGGGCGCCTCCGATTTTAGTGTTCATACATTTTGTGAGATTAAACTAAGAATAAAATATTTTACAAATCAATTCTAACATTACATTCATGAATACCTTTTGTATGACATGATCCACGGAATCAATTTTCTCACGTCTACTCATATTCCTATCCATACGTAATAATGCCTTATAATTGAAACAAAAATAATTTTTAATTATACGAAAAACTATATTTTTTTACATATGAGTAAATACCTGAAAGATTAGGTGTTCCCGAACGGTAAGCATCGCGTGAAACATATCGTGTTGTTGTATGTACGAGGAAATGGATGCAATTTGAGCCGCAGTGACTACCTGTCCATTCACGAGGACCTGTCCCTGGACACCCAGTTTAGACAGATTCCTACCGGTTAGTACATTCAATAGACTTGTTTTTCCAGCGCCACTGACATAAGAATTAATGTTTAATTAATATAAGAATTTTCATGTATTATATTATAATCATTGTTATCTAATGTGATACAGTGTACTACTGTTTAATGAACTCAACTAGAACAATTAAAAGCACATACCTGGCGCCCATTATAGCCAATAGTTGTCCCGTCTTAACTTCACCCGAAACTTATTATAAAAGGCATAAGAATTTTGTTTATAAGTCATTATTTGGGAACAATTAATATTTGATACCATTTTTGATAATCTCTTTGGGCTTTTGTTCATTCTTATAGCAATTATAAATGTCTTTCTGTGGTCTGGTCACCACTTGTATGTTAAGCCACGATAGGGACACGGGTTGCACCGCCTCATACACACCCCCTTTCCGTTCAGACATTTCCAGTATTACTTTCATTTTGATTTGAGATTATGTTAATTGCACAGTATTTTTATAATTTTAATAGTTATTAGTGAACTATGGTTGTTAAATATAGATTTGTTGTATTTAAAATTACTATATGAAATATTACATTGATGTACTGTATAATAAAAAATTATTTTCTAAAATCCTGGCTACAAATCGCTGAATAATACTTTGATACTGTGAATAATTTTGCAATTCATATGACAATTCATATAAGCATTTTATAATAATTTTATTTGAAATATTTTGTAATAATTAGCATTCAATAATAATTATATTTATTAAAATTAATATTTTAGTAAAACTTATAAAGCTTAAATAAAGACCTAAAGTTTGTAACAGTAAACTCTTAATTGTAATTACTGTGACATGTTACCATGGTCAAGAATTTATAATAAAAACTATGTATTAATGAATTATAATTATAATTAATTTATTATTATTATTAACATTTTCTACATAATATAGATACGAAAAACTTTAAAACTCAATTTAAACATATAAATTCTGTACAAAAAACACCCTGGTACCAAAAAGCCTACCTATTTTCCCAACCCATACATACATCTGACGCACACACGACAGATGGCGACACCGGCGCCAACGGACGAGCACTGGTAGCCTATGAGAGAGCCAATGGGCGATCGATTCGTATGGCAAACGAGTGAATCGATTAGCGTTTTGTCGACAAAACACTTTTCATACGACAATCGAGTCATTGAAACACTCATTTAAGGCATCGCGAGAAGACCACACTTTGCACCATATATACCGTCATCCGAGGTAAGCGATCCCATCAGTGATGATATTGTCACCCATTAAGACACACGCAGTCATTATACGCGTGCAATACCACCAACGAGTGAGTCAGAAGCCATGAGATGTATGCTAATCGCCATTGTTTTTGCTATATTACTATCCAGTAATCACTCGCGCCAAGACTTTGATCCAATTGGTGATCGCATACCAGTGTCTCATCCATAATGATTAGTGACGTGCAGTTAGCCATCTTCTCCAACGTGTTGGGCGTCGCACTGTTCCTACTGGTGGTGCTCTACCACTACGTGTCCGTCAATAGTACCAAATGAATGCCTATTATCATCGCCACAGCTGTTCCCACCCATCGCTATGTCTTGAGATACCACTACAGCTCCACTGCACACATAAACTCTGTTATCAATAGTTCCAACACTTCTCTGTCGCCACTGTCTGTCTGTTTGTCTCTCTCTCTCTCCAAGTCTTAGTCTATAAATAGATACCAATTATTTCCAAATCAAACGCTTCTGTGTCTTATCGCTACTCCTATTATCACCACTTGTTTTGCAAAACAAACATATTTTTGACATTCATTTGCCAATC